GATGCTGTGGTTTTGTTATCTGTATCTGGCAGCCAGAGCATGCAAAATTGCACTTGGTTTTCACAAATTAATTCATTCAGGCTGCTCATTTATCAGGCATTCCTGGAACCTTCTGCAACTTGATGTTGATAAAGGAATGTTATTTTGAAAAGGGTGGAGAGGAACGATTTTATAATTCTTGAACACAAAGAACAATGTATAATTCTCATGGCTGTTTGAATCATGGGGCATTCCCCAAAGGTAAACGAAACCTAGTGACTAGGAAGAGACTCTCTGTTGGTCACAAAGATCTGTGGATCTACCGGTCCCACACAGAATGACTCCTCTCTGGGCAGAATTTTTGGAAGAGTTAAACAGGAATTTAGAAGAAAATCGCCTTTACTATTCCATGATTTCCCCATGACCCTGAACCCTCACACTCATTTTTAAGAAACAAGTACATATCTGGCTGATGAGAAGGTTTGGTTGGTAAGGTACCTGTCAGATAAACCTGGCAGTCAGGTCCCCAGAAACCAGAGAAAATGTTAAGCTTGGCACCCTATCTGAGCTGCAACCTCAGTGCTCAGGGCTAAGGGACAAAGGCAAACAGATCCCTGAAGCTCATTGGCCAGCCAACCTACCTGAATAGTGAGCGCTTTGGTTTCAGTAAGAGACTTTGTCTTAAGGTGGAGAGCAATTAGGGAAAACACTGGGGAATGGATCTCTAGTTTCCACATGCAACCACCATGGTACACAGGCACCAGCATGCACACATGCCTACAACTACACTAACAAGTACACCTAGCACACACACACACACAAAGACACACACACACACAGACACACACACAGAGACACATACACACAGAGACACACACACACAGACACATACATACACACACAGATACACACACAGACACACACATACAAGCACACAGATATACACACACAGAGACACACACACACACTTAGATAAAGACACACACACCCACAGTACAGAGACGCACAGGCACACAGAGACACACAGACACATGCACACGTACACAGAGACACATGCACACATTTGCACAAGTAGTGTACACCTGCGTCTTCTCCTCCCCGCTTACGGTTTCCCTGTCCCATCTCAGGTTCGGTTTTGTCATTCCACTGAGCACCTTGGTCTTATTGGAGGCCACATTGATTGTGGTAGGCACTATGCAATTTGCTAAATGGTGTTCTACTTATGGAAATGCCTGCAAAGAGCCCCGAGGGAACAAAAGAATTAAGTAAACACGTATTGATCATGAGATATCTGCTGCTTTTCTTATTTAGACCAGTCCAGCACTCTGTCTAGTCTCTCTCAATCTGCAACACAGAAATCTGGGGACATTCTTTAGGCTCCTCCCTGGTTTTAAAGCTTAAGTAATGGCGGGAAATGCTTTAAACAAAGTCTCATTTTAAAAGAAACCCCCAGTAGGGGATGGAATTCAAAGAATCTGGAGAGGAGGAGGTAAGTGATAGCAGACAGCTTTGAAAACAGTTCTGCCTGGTAATTGTTAGACAAAGAAGCACTTGATAAGACCAGTGAAAGATGAATGTGATTGGACCTACTGTGAGCTGGAGCCCCCGCCCCGGGAGCCCACTCTGGTGAGCGCCATGGCACTCACTGTGTGCAGTGCTTATACAAGGGGAAAAGCTTAATTGGGAAGGGGGGTTTAAGGAGGGATACAGCACAATTAATTCAGAACCCAAGCTGACTTTTTTATGTTTCAAAAATGCTCCAGTTTTATGCACATTATACCTTCTAAAAGGCAATAGATATAGTTCATGGAATGCAAATGCACAAAGTATACCCCTGTGTAGGTCTACATGAAAAATGGGGGAAAAATGAAAGTCTACATTAATAACGCCGATCTTGCATTTATGCAGAGCTAAGGAAATGGTTGGGGAAGTGTTCCTTCTTGGAAAGGGGAGCTCTGACCTCTGCTCCCCTGGTGTTTGCTGGCTCACTCCCTGTCTCCATTCTTCCCTGTTGTGCCCTTCTGAGAAGGCAGGATGCCATCGATTCTGATTCCATCATATCCTTTGGGTGCTCCTCCTCTATCCAGTGAAACAGAGGCGGTCCATGGGAGCAGGAGAGGGGAACAACTAGAAGGAAGCTAGAGGACAGGACACAGTGCCAGAGGGCGCACACCCTGGCGGGGACAAAGACTAGGAATGCTGGTGTGTAGAGAATGAAGGGCTATGCTAAAACCAAGGAGCCCTGAATGACAGGTTTCAGGTTTGCGGAGCTGGGGAAGTGTGTGGGAAACAGTGCCTGCCTGAGAAGCACATCGAAGTCCTGAATCTTATAGAAACATTATCTTATAGACTTGGAAGTATGGCCTGGGGCCAGTCTGAAACCTAGAGAGGCGTGAGCATTTACTATAACAGGAAACAAAGCTAATTCCTGTTAGCACACCCTCTGTCTCCATAACTTCAGTATGGTTGTTCATTTAGGCACAAGATTGATAAGCACTTTCTGGTTACCCTGACCCAGGCCAGGTGATTTCTGCCAGCAGATTCAATTAGGAGGTTGGCTTGGCATGAAGTTACTAAGCCCAAGGCACAAATAAGAACCAAATTGTGAATGCTAGGAAGGGGAATGGCTGCATGGTGCTTCCTTTGAAATGAAAACCATCAGTAAGAACCAATCAGGCAGGGCCAGGAGCAGAGATGGAGGGGGCTCCCCAGAGTCATGGAGTCTGCTTCAGGAAGTGACTGGAGAAGAGGAAGACCAGCTTTCATGGTGACTTAGTGAAGGACAGGTTTGGCCTCAGTTCAGTGCAAGTAACTTCAGTTGGATCCCCATGATTCCATGTCACTGTGGTCAAGGCCGAGTGCAGTTCTGGTTATTGGATGTCCTCCGCTTACACGGGCCAGCATACCTGTCCATTTCGGCATGTTGATTACAGCGTTTTGTTTATAGCTTCATTTTCTTTCCCCATCATAGCATCAAATTAGCCCTCAGATATCTTCCATGGCTCAAATACCGTGTCGTTTGGTACCAGCTGAATTCGTGATTTTCCATGGCTCAAATACTGAGTAGTTTGGTACCATCTGAATTAGTTACTGTTCCCATTGCTGTAACAAGATACCCAACAGAAACAGCTTAAGGCAGTGGGTCACATGGTATCCGCAGTCAGGAAGCAGATGAACGCTGGTATTCAGCTCACTTTCTCCTTTTCATTCTGTCCTGAGTTCCAGTCTTTGTTGGGCTTTTCACCTCAATTAACCCAGTTTACAAACTTCCCCAGAGACATGTGGGATGCTTATCTTCCAGGTCAGCATTGATCCTGTTGAGTTAACAATCAATATTAGCTATCACAGTATCTGAATAAATTAATTTCTGCTTCCGAGTCCCAAGCTTACTATTCAGTAATTATTAATCCCTCAACCCAATAACTAAGTCTCTAAGAAAGAATCCAGCTAATTTTTCCAGTAGAATAATTTTAAAAATTTGTTTATTTCTTATTGATGAGCGTTGTATGTGCCTGTATTAGTCAATGTACACCATGTGTGTGCAGTTGCTAGCAGAGTCCAGAAGAGGGCATTGGATTCCCTAGAGCAATTTATAGATCGCTGTTACTCACTATGTGGGTGCTGGAAACTGAGCCTGGGTCTGCAAGAGCAGAGAATTATCTTGCCTGCTAAGACCCTCTCTACCCATCCATTAGTTTGAAGAATGTGCTTGCCTTTGCTTTCTAGTGATATTCTAAACACAAAATGAAAAATCTGGGACTCAGCATTATCTGTGGTGGTCTTCTAATCACAATTTTTTAACATATGACTCCATCTGGTAACTTACAACAGCCATCTATGTCAACTCACTATGGTCTTTAAAAGACCCTGTGACCAAGAGAGCTCTATTATTATATTTTTCACATTAATGCGATTGTTGTTGTTTAGAGAGGTTAAGTCACCATCTAAAGGTCACACGGCTGTTAAGACGCTCTGTATATTTTGAGATCCTCTGAAGGTCTACGTGAAAAGGGATAAAGTAAAATGAGGGATATGTTTCCTAATTTTGATCTGTATAACTGTAATTACTTTTATGTGTGCATTCTAAGCTTCAGGCAGTAATCTTATTGTTTTAATTTTGACACAAAATGGTTTGACTGACTAAAATAGTGGTTCTGAAATCAAGGGCAAAGGGGCATCAACAATATCTGTGGACATTTTTAGCTCTCACATGCAATGAATAGCTGCCATTAGAACTGGGTGGACAAAGACTGCTTGCTAATTTACCTCCTTCAGGGAACAGACAGTTGTGATGTGTGATTCCTGAGTTCAGAGTCTCTCGAGGGGATTCAGGTGGAGACCCTAGTTTTTATAACCAGTTAAGATCTCTTGGAGCAGGTCATGATGGAAAGCAGGTATGAGAGCAGGAAAAGGAGCTGAGCAGATACATTCATCCATTCATTCATAGAAGCAGGTTGCCCGGAATGGGTTCTGCACACCTAGAACTATGCTTCGCCACGGGGGGTGAGGGAATCAGCATTTGGAAGTCTCATTGGAGAAAAGGAGCGGACCAAAGAACAAGGAAGATAAAGATACCTGGCTGCTAGGAGAAGACAGAACGCCAGGGCTGGGCTATTTTTTTTTTTTAACAGACAAGGAGGTGACATGTCTGGGTGGCATAAGGAGAACCAGTCTGGGGAGAGACAAAGTCCAAATCTGCGAGTTTCTGTTAGGAGCTCCTGATAGCTTCCTTGTCTGCCATTCATGGCTGTGTTGATCCTAATGCTGGGCCAGGGAGAGGGAAAGCTAGTGATGTTGGTGTTCTCAAAAGCAGCACAGAACATGGCATTGGTGTGTGTGTGTGTGTGTGTGTGTGTGTGTGTGTGTGTGTGCATACCTACACACATGTCTGTGTACACTGGAGAGGGCAAGGAGCTTCTGCCGTCGTCAGTAAATACTGCCCGTCGTCTATGAATAGGTACTGGCTTCTGTTTGCCCAGTAACACGTTTTTTTTTTTTTTTTTTCCTCTCCCTGTTTGCAGCAGTCCTATGCACCAGCTCCCCACCCCATGGCTCCTCCCAGCCCCAGCACGAACAGCAGCAGCAACAGCAGTGGAGAGCAGTTGAGTAAGACGAACCTGTACATCCGAGGCCTTCCACCGGGCACCACCGACCAGGACCTCATCAAGCTATGTCAACCGTAAGTGTCCTGAAGCCTGTCAGGTCTGCTCTGATGCACACATCACCCGTGGGGGCGGCCCATGGGCTGGGCCCACTACAGACTCAATGAGGGACCCTCTTGTGCATAAGTGGGGGGGGGTAAGACTTGTGGTTTCGCTTCAGCGCCTTTCAGGAAGAAGGTTGGTGCATGGCTCTGGAGGTGGAATTCCCTGAGCAGATAGATGGCTGGGGGCGGGGCATGCTGGCTGAATCATGTGTATTGGCCAGAAAGTAGGAGAGAGAGAGAGACAAGAGAGCCATGTTCTCAGTCAATGTAGCTGGGGAAAATGGGTGGTCATGCTCACCAGAGGAGCTGCCTTTTAGAGAGCTGCTGCTGATGCTGTGCATGGAGGATGCTCTCATGCCCTGTGGGTACCACAGCTTCTCTGCCCGTACTTGGCAAAGGAGGTTTAACCAGCATAATTGGCCCTCTATTTCCTTAGAAGTATCTTCTCCCAAGCCCTGAGATTCTGTTTCCCATCCAAGCCAAGAATCCTCTGATGAGTCTTTCTGCATTTCCCAAGGAAGATGGGAATAACTGAATTTTCTTCCAGAAATGTTTTCATTCATCCCTTATCGACCACTCTCCTGTCTGTGCAAATATGCTAACACTGCATGCGTTTACCCTACGAATAAACTCAGTAACAAATCATGAGTTAAGAATCACAGGCTTGTGTTTTTAGACTTCCATTCTATTATCAAAATATCATTGATGCATATATACATATATACACATATACACATATATACACATACGCGTGCGCGCGTGCGCGTGCGCACACACACACACACACACACACACACACACACACACACACACACACATATATATATATATATATATATATATATATATATATGGTTTGATTTCCCCATAGCTGGGCGTTTTAAATTCTGGGAGAGACCTATTACTCAGACGCTTCCCTTCTTTTTTAGAATACAACAGGTGGCATTTATTTGCTTTCATTATGAAGTCAAAAATTTGGAGTTCATATCTAGACAACAGAGAGTGACAGACAGTAAAAGCAAACATACAAAAGTTATAACTAGATAATCAGCTAACAAAACAGTAGGCAGGTTGGGATAAAGATCCCATGTTGCTGCTGTCTGCCTTGGTTTGTGCAGGATGGAAGTGTGCAAGAAAAATATTTACTTAGAAGATATTAGTTTTGTTTTCCTAATGTTAAAACTGCCATGGTTGATGCATACAGACATTTGACATTTGTTAAGTTTTGTTTCATAAAACATACAGGGGTTGAGAATCAGAAGGTAGATAGCTTGTTAGAAAAAATCTGAGCTATTCTGGAAATTGAGGTCTTTGGAAATATGAAAAATGTTTCCTTTGTGATTGGAGTTGTAGATAAATACCTGTTATCTTTGGTTCAGACTTGAGGGATACTCACCAGGCACATTTGTGGGTATCGAGTGAAGATTCTTTGTAATTGATGTGTGTGAGCCTGTGTTCTGAGTGTGAAAGCCTCTGCTTACCTGGGTCTGGAGAGGTACAGAAGTGACCATTTCCCACATGCTGTCTACTGTGACAGAAACTTTCTGTCATGGACACAGCAGGGCCACTGATTCCCTGTTGACAAAGCTTCACTGTGCTGATGAGGACACATAAGAGTGGATGCTTGGCCACTCACTTCCTTAGCTGGTTTGTGATCACGTCTCCCTGTGCAATCTCAGTTTCCTCCTTACGAAGAGTGAGCTGAAAACAAGGGATGTGGCTAAGTCAGCAGAGTGCTTTGTGCTGTGAGCATGGAGAGCTAGGCTCCCCCCATCTAGAACCTGTGCAATAGGTCATACATTATGGTTCACACTTATAATCCAGTTCCAGGTAGATCAAAACAAGAGGATCCCCAGGACCAGCCAGAGTAGCCCACTTGACAGCACTATGATGGTACCTGAGGAATTATACCTGAACTTAACCTTCTGGCTTCTACACAGATGTATACACATGTGAACATACACCTTACAACAAACATACATGCACACATATGAGCATATACATATATACCCCCACCATGCAAACACACAAAAGTGAGTTGAGTTTTTCTTTTTCTAGATTTTTCCTTGTAGTACTGAGATGTGCTGAAGCTGCCTCTGAACATGTCATAGAACCCATTGTTAAACAGTCCAGAATTCTGGGACAACTCTCCTACAGATTTGGTGGCTTAGACTCAGCCATGGCTAGGGATTTATATAATGTAGAACCAGCGAACCCCACACATGAGAGCTTTCTGGAAGTTTTGTTTTACTGAATACCTTGGTTTAAGAACACAGCACTGTGGCAGCATCATAGCAAAGATCTCTCTGTCTACTTCTATCTCTGTAAAGCATTACCAATTATTTTATAGATGGAGAGCATTACCTAAAGGCCGGTGTTGGCTGGAACGATGTGATGCCCACAAATGTACTGGAGCATAGAAGTCTTGTTGATGTTTCTGATGTGTGTTCAAGAAATATCAAGTATGGGACAGAGACGGGGAGGAACTGTTGACCATAGGTGTGAAGTGTGGCACTATAATGAGACTCAGCCAATGGTCAGATTGCTGTAACAACATTGTTGGATTCTCTAGTCACTGAACTGATCAAGACCTGGGACTGCTCGAAATATTCTTCATATAGAATCTGAAAGAATAGATATGAACGGACACCATGGTATAGTGGAAGTAATAGTGTGTGAAGGTATCTGGCTTTTAGTCCTGTGTGTGTTAGCCACGGCCTCTGTGGCCTCAGACAAATGATGGATTCACTCTTAGCTTAGTTTTTGCCCATGTTGCAATGAATGGATTTGAACTCTGCAGCTGTTACACTTCTTTCACTCTACAATTCAGTGGGTGAGGTTCTCATTTGGAACCTTCCCTTGTCCATCCCATGTCCTTCTCCTGTCCCCCTACCCGGCAAGTGGCTCACCGCACTGGCCAGGGAGCAGGGGGTGCTTCTCCAAAGGGACCGGCACAGCTCATTTGGAAATTCTTGTTCATTCTCAATCACCAGTTTCTTACAGTACTTGTTATTTGGATTTGTGAATTTCTAATTTTACATTGCTATCAGGGATCCAACATTTAAAAATGCTTTCACCTGAAAATGGAAGTATTTTCGAGACTTTGTTGTCTGTTTTGAGACAGTGTCCCACAAATTCCGGGCTGTCCTCAAAGGCACTGTGTAGCCCAAGATGACCTTGAATTTCCCTGATTCCCCTGCCTCCACCTCACAAGAGATGGGCCTGATTACAGGTGTGTGCCACCCCATCTGGTTTCTGTGGTGCCAGGGATCAAACCCACGCTAGAAAAGCGTGCCAGCCAAGGTGTGTGCCAGTCAGCATTTGCAGGGCTATGAAAACTTGCTGTGCACCCTTTGCTTGTTAACTCCCGTGAAATCATAAATACTTCCAAAGTTAATGTGCCTAACAGGACAGGAAGTATAATGATTACTAATGTCTGTGGTAATAAAATAAGAGAAAACAGACTTTCAAAATTGTCATAAATATATTGAATTTTCTAGTATTAGAATATGCCAGCCACATGAATGCTAATGTACAGCAAGATGGTGGTATAAAGGAAAAATAAATGAATTATGCCTCATTGTCTAATGTGAAAACCAATCCTTAACACCTCCCTCCCGGGTGTTCAGATGACAGTAAAGATCATGGAAAAGAAGTCAAAATTGAAGGATAATTAACACGAAGAATGATTTTACTCTATGGAAATCTCTAGTTATAGCTGTATCTTTGATAAATGCATGGCATTGTGCAAGTGTAGTAGGAAATGGGATAGTTAGGGATCCTTTATATCTCCTTAGAAAACTGAAAATATTGTCCACTCTTAACTGGCATCTCCATCAAGAAATACTTACAAGACAGACATGGTTGTGCATCCCCATAATCTCAGCACTTGGGAGGAGGAAGGAGGAGGCAGGAGGATCGGGGTCATCCTGGGCACAGAAAGTTGAATGCCAGTCTCCACGAGACCTGAACAACAGCAACGACAGTAAGACACAGAGCATTCAAAGCAATCAAAGCATTTCCATGACACTTCCAGCATACGGGTAGTGACAGAAACGTAGAGAAAGGCTGTTCCTTGAACTCAGTTTTTCTTCTGCTGGGGAAGAGAAACCGGGCTTTAATAAGAATTTGGCTTGAAATAAAAGTGTAACCATAAGTTCAGAAATGAAGCAGGACATGTCTTAGTTTATAACATGCCTTCCAACCTGTTATCTCTGAGGAAATGACGATGGAGTTATAATCAGAAGGATGGACACATTTGATGTGGAAGGAAGGAGGGGCATCCTGGGCAGAAACTGTCCGTCTGGAGCCCTGCAAGGAGGAGAGCCTGAAAAGGTCATTGTGGCTACAGCAAAGGGCAGGCTGCCCTCAGAGCAGAGTGAAATGGGCGTAGAGGGCCACAGATGACCTTTTTGTAAAGGAAGCCACAGAACTGTCCTAAAGAGACAGTCACATTTCAGTCTGGATAAAGGTAACTGGAGCAGCGTTCAGGGGAGAGGTCCCTAGAAACTGGTGACAGATTACAACAGGTGTGATTGAAAGGTCAGTTAGAACCAGGCGGTGGTGGCACACACCCTTAATCCCAGCACTCGGGAGGCAGAGGCAGGCGGATCTCTGTGAGTTTGAGGCCAGCCTGGTCTGCAGAGTGAGTTCCAGGACAGACAGAGAAAAAAGTTAGTTTGGAAGCAGAACTGACCAGCATCCAGGGAAGGCATGGGAATGAAAATTGTGATGGAGGATCCACTGTGTGTAGGGCAGGATGTATTGCATGGTGCAGGCTTTTGTGGTGGTCCTGGCACTGGATGTAGGTTCTGATAAATATGAGGTCGAGTGAGGAAGGTACAGATCGTAGGTGGATACTTCACGTCCTCTGCTTATCACTAGAGGAACAATTTGGTGTGAGGCATGACCGTTTAATAAAGTGAAAAGTTTGAAAGGCTTTTGAGCTAACTAGATGCTTGGTGCTAATATGA